TGATCTTGTATCCTGCCACTCTACCATATTCCTCTATCACTTCCAACACTCCTCCTGTAGGGTTTTGGGATTTTCAATATATAAAATCACATTGTCTGTGAATAATGATAGTTTCACCTCTTCCTTACCCAGATGAATACCTCTGATATCTTTTCTTTGTATTATATTGTTAGCTAGGACCTCCAATATGATGTTAAATAGGAGTGGGGACAAGGGGCATCCTTGTCTGGTCCCCCTTTTCAGTGGAATTGTTTTCACCTTTTCTCAATTGATTACCATGTTGGCAGTTAGTTTTTCATATATAGCATGTATAATATTGAGGAATGTTCCTTCTATTCCTATCTTCTTGAGTGTCTTAAGCAGGAATAGGTGTTGGATGTTGTCGAATGCTTTTCCCACATCTATTGATATTATCATGTGGTTCTTATAATTGTTCATGTCAATGTGGCAAATAATGCTAATGGTCTTTTGTACGCTGAACCATGCCTACATCCCTGGTATGAGTCCCACTTGGTCATGGTGAATTATTTATTTTATATGTGTTTGTATTCTATTGGCCAATTTTTGTTAAGGATTTTTTGCATCGATGTTCATTAAGGATATTGGTCTGTAGTTCTCAGTTCTTGTGGGACCCTTGCCTGCTTTAGGTATCAGAGTTATACTAGCTTAATAGAAAGAGTTTGGGAGTTTTCTGTCTTGTTCTATGTTCTGGAAGAGTTTGTGTAGGATTGGTGTTAGTCTTTCCCTGAATTCTTTGTAGAATTCTCCTGTGAAGCCATCTGGCTCTGGGGGATTTTTTTTGTTGGTAACCCCTTGATAATCTTGTCTATTTCTTCTATTGCTAAAGGTCTGTTGAGATTCTTGACGTCATCTGGGATAGTCTAGGGAAGATTGGTTTTCCAAGTATTTGTCCAGGCCTTCTAAGTTGAATTCATTAAAGTACAGGCCTTCATAGTACTGTGTAATTATCCTTTTGATTTCCTTAGGCTCTGTTGAAATGACGCCTGTTTTATCCCTCATCATTGATATTGAAAATTTTTCCTTCAGTTCTTTGGTTAGGTATGCCAGTGGTCTATCAATTCTGTTAATCCTTTCAAAGAACCAACTTTTAGCTGCATTGATTTTTTCCCATAGTTTTTTTGGTTTTCCCTCTCCTGTATCTTTGCCCTGATTTTTATTACTTCTTTCATTTTACTATTAGTAGGATTGTCTTGTTGACCCTGCTCTAATTGGTGTAAGTTTTGTGCCAGCATATCAGCTATAAGTCTCTCTTCCTTTTTCATGTGTATATGTATTGTTATCAAACTTCCTCTGATAAATGCCTTTGCTGTGTCCCAAAGGTTTTCGTATGTCATATTTTCATTCTCATTTGTTTCTAGAAACTTCCTGATTTCATCTCTGATCTGGGCCAGTACCCACTCCTTTTGCAATAGAGAGTTATTCATCCTCCAATTGTTTGCCCTTGTTTTCTTCATCATCCTTTTGTTGATTTCCAGCCTTAAGGCATAGTGGTCAGAGAATGAAGTCTGTGTAATCTCTATGTGCTTGAATTTACATGGGTTCAACTTGTGTCCCAGCATGTGGTCAATCTTTGTGTATATGCCATGTGGACTTGAAAATAATGTGTGATTTTTTTTTGCATTTGGGTGGAAAGCTCTGAAAATATATATCAGGCCAACTTGTCCAATTGTGCTGTTTAGATCTATAGCCTCCCTGTTAAGTTTCTTTCTCTGTGATCTGTCGTTTTCAGAAAGTAGTGTGTTAAAAGTCACCTACTATAATTTTGAGCCTGTGATTTCTTTTTTCATCTTTTGGATTTACAAATTTCATGGGTCTCTCATTGGGCGCATATACATTTATTATGCTAAGTTGTTCTTGCTCTACTGGTCCCATGAGCATTATATAGTGCCCTTCCTTGTCTCTTTTTATGGCTTGTACCTTGAGATCAATTTGTCAGAGATTAAGATTTCTACCCCTGGTTTTTTTTTTTTGTTCTTTTTGCATTGCCATTGGCTTAGTATATTTTTCTCCAGTCTTAAATTCTCAGCTTTTTTTTTTGTCTGTAAGCTTAAGATGTGTCTCCCGAAGGCAGAAGATCCATGGGTCATGTTTTCTAAGCCAATCTTCTAGCCTCTTCCTTTGATACCTGAGTTCAGCCCATGGATATTCAGTCTTATTACATCCATCTGTGGACTCTGTGATGTCATATTGTACCTTTTGTGTTCTCTGTGTTCCTACCTACCTATCTTATCAGCCTGTGTTGTGTGTATGTGGTGCATTCTTGCCTTCTTTCCACCATTGATCTGATGCTATCTTGGGGACTGTTTTCTCTGTTTCGCTCTCTGGGTGGAGTTTTTCTATGTGATGGTCTTTTATTTGTGCTCGGTCAGTGTTGATTTTCTGCCCATACTGGGTTGGCAAGAATCTTTTGTAGGGCTGGGTTTCTTTTTACATATTTTTTTAGTTTTCCCTTGTCTAGGAAGTCTTACTTCTCCATTTATGTTAATAGATAATTTGGCTGGATCTAGTACTCTTGGGTTTTGGTTATTTTCCTTCAATTTTTGGAATATGTTACTCCGCTCCCTCTTGCTCTTCATCGTGTCTTCTGATAGGCCTGAACATATTCTTATTTGGGACCTTTATAAGTGACTATTTGTTTATTCCTAGCTGCTCTTATGATTTTCTCCTTTTCCTTACAGTTGGATAATTTAACTACTATGTGTCTTGGTGAATTCTTGGGATTTGGTCTGGCTGGTGCTCTTTTAGCCTCCTGAATTCTTTTCATTTATTAAGCTGAAGAAGTTTTCCTCTAGGAATTCCCTCACTATTTTTGCTGTGGACTTCTTTGTTGTATCTTGTTCTGGTAGTTCAATTATTCTAATATCATTCCTCTTCATAGTATCAGACATGGCTCTCAGGTTTGCTTCAGCTTCTCTGATTGTCTTATTTTACTGCCTTTTCCATTTGTTAAAGTCTGCCTGGTTATCTTCTAGCTCACTGGTGCGATTCTCTACCTCCTCAAGTCTCTGTCATTGAGTGGATGCCAACTCATAGCAACCATATACAACAGGGTAGAACTGTCCGCAGTGCATTTCCAGATTGTAACTCTTTATGAGTGTATAAAACCATGTCTTTCTCCCAACAAGCAGCTGGTGATTTTGAACTGTGGATGTTGCTGCTAGTAGCCCAAGTCAGAAGCAATACACTACTAGAATGCTCCATAGTTTCGGATAGGAGGGTATATTTGGTAATGAGAAGACAAGGATGTTTTTGTTTTTACTTTAGTAAATGCTAAACAAACAATGACAAATGACAGAGGAATGTGTATAATGTTGTGAAGAATTAACTTTACCCAAAGAGATGTCCCCAGTTTGTTACTGGTTCCTAGGAATTACACTCTAAAACCCTGAGATTTTCCTAAGTGGTTGGAGTCTGTTTTCTACGATAAGCCTGAGGACCATTGATTGGTTCTGAATTGTTTCCTTTTGCTATGGTAAAATTCATATCATATATAAACCGCTTATAGTTCAAAAGTATAGTACTTTGAATAAGATCTGTAAGTGATTTAGCAAAATATCAAAACTGAATTAGCAATGGAAATCCTTAAATTTGTAACCAGATCACCAGAAGTGACAGTGGCCTTGGGAATACATGAACATGTAACTAATATCTGAAATTAGGATAATCTTCAAGAAGATTTGTGCCCTTAACTGTGAAATTTGACCTACCTCTAGGTAGTGTGTGACAGAAATCATTTGCAGAGTGTTGGAGACTTCAAGAATGAAGAAATCATCTTATATAGCATCTCAGAAAGCATGAAAACAAGTTTACTCGAGTATTTATGGGTAGGACAAAGGAGCGATTTAAGATATGTTCATATAATGAATGTGAAGCAGGTAGTGTTACTTCTAGTCGGCTGCTTAGGGATCAAGTGGCAATAACCCTGAAAACATAAGCAAACAAGAAATAGGGATAAAATGAGGGTGCAAATAATTTCACAATTCTAAAAATGTAATCAAACCACTGCATTGTGCTTATATAAGTTGTTGGATTGGTGTATGTTCTGTTGTGCACATTCTCAACAACAAACGTAAATTATTTAAAAGGTGAAAGAAACAATAGGGATTGACCCTAGCATCTCAGCTGAGTAAGAGAAAAGTCAAGGGTTAAAAAATCACTGGTTCAAGGAACTGTCTGAATAGGACCAAAGAGCAGTTGCTGAAGTCAGATGAAAGACTACAGCAAACCAACCAACCAAACACCTCCGCAGTCTCCTCACTACTCTCCAAAGCTCTGGACAGTGAGATTTTTAGCAATTTACATACATCTGAGCTGTCCTTAAAGATCTGTTTAAATAGCATATGATTTTATTTACTTTCCATTTATCAGAAATGCATCTATTGAGCGAAACAAGGTTTATCAGTAGTACAATTATATTTCTACATTCAGATTTATGAAAAATGATTATCATCATTACTTTTTTTTTTTAAGGAAAAAGTTTCAATGCACCATACCAAAACAGCAAAACATCTTTCAAACCTAACAGGCTTTTTGAAATCGCCATCCTTAAGTGCTGTTTTGTTTCTCTGTTTATTGTTCTCTCAATAGCCATAAAACAGAAATCATATGAGCAAATTTAAATGAGAATGCATTTTCAGAATAATCTTGTAAGGACACTTAAAGCACTTTCAGAAAACAGTTAGGAGTGCAAAAAGTCCATAAAGTAAGGCACAAGGATAAGCAACAAGAAGCTGTTGTCCTTCCATAGCTAAGGCTGAAATGAAGATTTTAGATGCTGAGAGGCTACACCAGCCAATAATGACCAGAGCTGACAGGGTTCCAGTGGTGCCCCTATTGCAAAGAGAAAAGAGAGAATTAGCTTACATTCTGTGAAAATGTGTTCACCAACTCAGTGCTTTCTCGGAAATGCCTTCAGTACAAAATTTATCAAATGCTCTCCATCTCCTTTAATAAAGTAGGGGAATGAACACAAAGGCCTCTGCCAGTCAGAAAACTTTTGAGTCAAATAAACCATCAAAGACCAGCCATATGTACTAACATTTTCTTAAAATTATATCTCAGCAAAAAAAATAATCACTTAGAAACAAAAGAATTCATTTGCAGCTTTTCTCACCTGTCAACATTCAAATCCCAACTCCTAAGATGCTCTTATTCAGTATATTTAGAGTTTTGTCATATAGCTATATATTACTTGTTATTCTTTCCCACTACTTTCTTCCTAAATTGACCCCCCAAAAGCAGAAAACTTAGTGGACTTGCATTTCAGTAGGATGACTCTTTTCTCAATTTTTGGTCCACTCCCCAAGGTTTTATCTTGGACAGCAAAGCCCAACATAGCTCCAGTATATGTGTGGCTTCTATCCTCATCAATGAATGTCACTTTTTACTATGTGGATTTTTCAGAATATTGAAAAAATGCGTTCAAATTGGTATCTTCAAAAAGTACCTCTGGCATCAATTAGTTTTTTAAGGACAAATAAGTAAATGAGGTAATTAACCTTAATCACCTTAGAAGGACTAATGGGAGAGGTAGATGATAAACAGTGAATTTCCCTCCTTAGGTGCAAGACAGAATGCTTTATTTAGGAAAATAAAAAGACTTAGGAGAGGCCTTAGGAAGCCATCTAGAACCCCAGCTTTAAAGCAGTAAAATGACGTAAGGAAAATTGCAGAGTATGAATAAGACCAAGATCATGTATCTTCTAGCACACTACTCTCTCAGTCATCAAATTATGCTGCCTGACTGTATTAAATCTGAAGTTGAGAAATGAATTTATGAATTTATGTATAAGAATCACAGATATATATTTTAATGATCAAGGCAAAGCAGAGAAATAACAAATTGCAAGGTATAATGAAAGATGCCTTAGTTATAAATTAAGGAAAAATATATACACAAAAAACACCCCAATAAATATTACACACATTTATTTAATTGATAACTATTATGAATCATTTCTAGAAAAATTTAATTTATAGTTTTATGAACAAAAATATGCAATTATTTATTATTAATTGAATTACAGTGAACCCTCGCCACTTCGCGCTTCGATTTCTGCGGCTTCACTCTATCGCGGTTTTTGTGTAACAACGCATGCTCTGTCATTACTGCCACTGATTGGCTCATACTGTACACGCTTGATGCCATAAATAATATAATAAATAATAAATGATAATTGTAACGTCCAAAATGTTTTACTGTATTTTCCCATATTCGTTTAATAAATTGGGTAATACGAGTGTAATGGTGACTAAAGGGTGTTTTTTCATGTCCTCTATGCTCTAACTACGAAAATATTTGATTTACAAATAAGGAATCCTACTTCGCGGAATTTCATTTATTACGGTAGGGTCTAGAACCGATTAACCGCGATAAACGAGGGTTCACTGTACACTAATATGGCCAAAAAATAATTTTCAGTCTGATCGTCTGATGGATCAAGCAGTTCCCTCACTTTAAAAATCAGTTTTCACAATTGAAGAATGAAAATCTTATGGAAAAGTTCTGGCTGGGTTACTAATGACACTCAAAATGCAAGACTTTTAGCTTTCAACTTTTTACTTTTAATATTTTGAAAAATGATTTAGAGGAAACATTATCAGCAAGTATTCCACATTTTAAAAACAACACTATGGACAGAAAACATATGCATTGAATATATAAATCTATCCTGAGCTATTGGTTTTTGAGACTTATCCATAGAGTTTTTTTGTATATTATATACTTTAACAATTATATCATAGAGATTTTTTGTATATTATATACCTTAACAAGCACTTCCATTTATTATGTGGTTTAGTACTGATGTTAGATATATTATTGTAGAATTTAGACAGCAATTTTTTTACAATTTTTTGCATTTTTGCCAAAGAATATTATTCTGATTCATCCTTAAAAATTCCCAAACTCATTAGAGCAGCCAGTCCACAGAGAAGACCACATGGCCAGCCCCACTATGAGATATGATGCCCCTCACTGACCCATAGCCCTACAGTGGGAATTGCACCCAATCTGATCCCGCCACACCAAGGCAAAACACTAAGGGGGTGCAACAGAATAGCAAGAGAGGGGAGCGGCGAGGTCCCCAGGAAATGCTGAAGGTGGACTTTGGGGCCAGGGCAAGGTGCACAAACAGACTGGACTGGAAAAAACTCCCAAAGGCCAACAAATGATCCGTGAACTAAATACAAGCTTTTCTTTCTTCTTGTGTTTTTTTTTTGTCATTGGTTTGTTGTTGTTGCTATTTTGTTGTATATTGTAGCTTGGTTTTGCTCTGTCTTGCTTTTGTGCATGTTACTATCTCTGCAGGTCTGTCTAAATAAGATAGGCTGGATGAACAATCTGGAGGAGAAAACAACAGGAAGAACAGTTCCGTGGGGACATGGGAGAGGGGGAGGTGGGGGGAAAGGAAGTGGTGTTGACAAACCCAGGGACAAGGGAACAGCAAATGATCCAAATTGGTGGTGAGGTGGGTGTGGGAGACCTGGTAGGGCATAATCAAGGGTAATGTAACAAAGAGGAACTGCTGAAACCCTGGTGGGGACTGAGCATGATAG